CACCATAATTTGCAAATAAATTCATTAAAAATCCTACAATGTGATTTTCTGGATTTTTTTTTTCTCATTTTGTCTGTCATAGTTGACGTGTACCTATGATGAAAATTACAGGCCTCTCTCATCTTTTTAAGTGGAAGAACTTGCACAATTGGTGGCTGACTAAATACTTTTTTTCCCCACTGTATATAGAGAGAGTGGATCTTTGTTCTGGAGTTGGGAAATGATAGAGGCAAATCTCTGTTATTCTGTTATAACTAACCATGGTACATATTAAATATCTTATATGAACTCCTCATCAAAAGTGTCTAAGTACATCCTTACATTCGTAATCACTTGATATCCTAGAAACTCATCATAACAGCTATCTTAAGATCAATGCACTAACTCAAAGTTGATCTGGATAAGAGCGTCTGCTAAATGACCCTGTACTGAAGGCTGGCAAAGCTGTTGCTTCTTCTCTATTGAGAATAAATCCTGGGAGGAGAGCAGACAGGACAGTGTGGAGAGAGGAGGAGACCTGGTGATCATAAACAGGAGAGAGGAACAGGTGAGAGAGAGTGAGAGGGAGAGAGAGGAGAGAGAGAGAGAGAGAGAGAGAGAGAGAGAGAGAGAGAGAGAGAGAGAGAGAGAGAGGGAGAGAGAGAGAGAGAGAGAGAGAGAGAGAGAGAGAGAGAGAGAGAGGAGAGAGAAAGAGAGGGCGAGAGAGAGACTGAACTCTCTCTCTCTCTTTGTCTCTAGTTGTTTACTGGTAGTGTCTAGTAGTTATTATGTTGATGGTTGGCTACAGTGCTGAATGGTTAAATGATGATTCCACCTAGTGGTTAAAGTGAGAAATGAACTTACCATAGAGGGGAAATAGTGGTATTACAGACTTGCCAACGGGCTCTTTCTCAATTCATCCTTCCTCCAATCCTCCTCCAATCCTTCCTCCTCTCCTCCTTCTCAAAACATATTGGAGAATATGTTCCAAGGGGAGGGACCTTGGACTTCATCCTCTAATAGGGTTGAGAAGGAGGAGAGGAGATAGGAGGAGAGGAGATAGGAGGAGAGGAGATGGGAGGAGAGGAGATGGGAGGAGAGGAGATGGGAGGAGAGGAGATGGGAGGAGAGTAATCTTGGAAAACGAATTGAGTTAGAGCCTTAGTGTCAGAGAGACATAGAAGAGGAAGAAGAACATTAAGAGAATGAGTAAGAGAGAAAGAATAAGACAAATAATAGTTGTGTTTAGATTTAGAGGAGAGGATGTAGACATACTGTACTCTGGAAAATGACTCTACATTATTTTATTAGAAACATGTCATGTGATTTGATATGTACGACTATGGTTCAACTTATTTTCATGATCAATTATTAGCATACATCTGTTTAATAATAATAAGTAAAACAAATGCCCAGTAAGGAAGTAATAAAGGAACAATGTCCTCTGAGGTCTATCAGCTTCCTGATTGAATGTGATTGGATCGTTAAAACAGTGTTAGACAGTTGGTCACAGAGAGCAAAAAAGGACACACTGAGTGTAAAAAAACATTAGGATATTGAGTTGCACTCCCCGCCCCCTTTTGCCCTCAGAACAGCCGCAATTCGTCAGGGCATGGACTCTACAAGGTGTCAAAAGCGTTCCACAGGGATGCTGGCCCATGTAGACTCCAATGCTTCCCACAGTTGTGTCAAGTTGGCTGGATGTCCTTTGAGTAGTGGACCATTCTTGATACACACAGTAAACTATTGAGTGTGAAAAACCCAGCAGCGTTGCAGTTCTTCACACAAACCGGTGCGCCTGGCACCTACTACCATACCCCGTTCAAAGGCACTTAAATATTTTGTCTTGCTCATTCACCCTCTGAATAGCACACATACACACTCCATGTCTCCATTTTCTCAAGGCTTACAAATCCTTCTTTAACCTGTCTCTTCCCCTTCATCTACACTGATTGAAGTGGATTTAGTTTAACAAGTGACATCAATATGAGATCATAGCTTTCACCTGGATTCACCTGATCAATCTATGTCATGGAAAGAGCAGGCGTTCTTAATGTGTTGTATACTCAGTGTCCAGTGAGACAGAGGGGAGCTGTTTTGCTCAGATGCTTTCGCAGGTAAGATTTATGTATCTTGCTGTCAATCAAATTATCAATATTTAGAGACCCCCCACAGTTTGACTTTGTTGCATTTAGGGAAGCTCATGTCTTACTCATGTCGCACTCTGCATGTAACCAAAGAATCTGCTTGGAATTAAAGAGTAACATCAAGAAATTGGACACACCTACTCATTCAAGGGTTTTTCTTTATTTATACTATTTCCTACATTGTAGAATAATAGCGAAGACATCAAAACGATGTAATAACACATATGGAATTGTATAGTAATCGAAAAAGTGTTAAACAAATCAAAAAATATGTTATATTTGAGATTCTTCCAAGTAGCCACCCTTTGCCTTGATGACAACTTTTCACACTCTTGGCAATCTTTCAACCAGCTTCACCTGGAATGCTTTTCCAACAGTCTTGAAGGAGTTCCCATACATGCTGAGCACTTGTTGGCTGCTTTTCCTTCACTCTGCGATCCAACTCATCCCAAACCATCTCAATTGGGTTGAGGTTGGGTGATTGTGGAGGCCTGGTCATCTGATGCAGCACTCCATCACTCTCCTTTTCGGTTAAATAGCCCTTACACAGCCTGGAGGTGTGTTGGGTCATTGTCCTGTTGAAAAACAAATGATGGTCCCACTAAGCGCAAACCAGATAGGATGGCGTATCGCTGCAGAATGCTGTGGAAGCCATGCTGGTTAAGTGTGCCTTGAATTCTAAATAAATCACCAACAGTGTCACCAGCAAAGCACCCCCACACCATCACACCTCCTCCTCCATGCTTCATGGTGGGAACCACACATGCGTAGATAATCCGTTCACCTACTCTGCATCTCACAAAATTACACGGCGGTTGGAACCAGAATTCTAAAATTTGGACTCATCAGACCAAAGGACATATTTCCACCGGTATAATGTCCATTGCTCGTGTTTCATGGCCCAAGCAAGTCTCTTCTTCTTATTGGTGTCCTTTAGCAGTGGTTTCTTTGCAGCAATTCGACCATGAAGGCCTGATTCACGCAGTCTCCTCTGAACAGTTGATGTTGAGATGTGTCTGTTACTTGAACTCTGTGTAGCATTTATTTGGGCTGCAATCTGAGGTGCAGTTACCTCTAATGAACTTATCCTCTGCAGCAGAGGTAACTCTGGGTCTTCCTTTCCTGTGGCGGACCAACTCGCTCTCTATCTTTCTCAGAGCAATCTTCTTGACCCTAACCAGTCAGGCTTCAAGATGGTTCACTCAACTGAGACTGCTATTCTCTTTGTCACGGAGGCTCTCTGCTCTGCCAAATCTGACTCTCTCTCCTCTGTTCTAATCCTCCCAGATCTGTCCGCTGCCTTCGACACTGTGGACCATCAGATCCTCCTCTCCACCCTCTCAGGGCTGGGCGTCAAAGGCTCAGCACACTCTTGGACATCTCCGACCAGGTGATGTGGAGAGGATCTGTGTCAGCTCCACATACTCTCACTACTGCTGTCTCCCAGGGCTCGGTTCTAGGCCCTCTCCTCCTCTCTATATATCAAGTCACTTGGCTCCGTCATATCCTCAGATGGTCTCTCCTATCACTGCTATGTGGATCACATCCAACTACTTTTCTCCTTCCCCCCTTCTGACACCCTGGTGCCTGGCAGATATCTCAGCTTGGAGGTCGGCCCACCACCTCAAACTCAACCTCAACAAGGCCTGCCTGCTCCAAGACCTCTCCATTATGGTTGACAACTCCACCGCATCTCCCTCCCAGAGTGCAAAGAATCTTGGCGTGACCCTGGACAACACCCTAACTTTCTTTGCAAACATCAAAGCATTGACTCGCTCCTGCAGGTTCATGCTCTACAACATCAGTAGGTTACGACCCTACCTCACACAGGAAGTGGTGCAGGTCCTAATCCAGGCACTTGTCATCTCCCGTCTGGACTACTGCAACTCGCTGTTGGCTGGGCTTCCTGCTTGTGCCATCACACCCCTGCAACTTCTCCAAAGTGCTGCAGCCTGCCTGGTGTTCAACTTTCGCTCCTCCGCACACTCCACTGGCTTCCAGTCAAAGCTCGCATCCACTACAAGACCATGGTGCTTGCCTACGGAGTAGCAAGAGGAACTGCCCCTCCCTACCTTAAGGCTATACTCAAACCTTACACCCAAACCTGAGCACTGCGTTCTGCTACCTCTGGTCTCTTGGGCCTCCAATCCCTACCGGAGGGCAGCTCCCCGCTCAGCCCAGTCCAAGCTCTTCTCTGTTCTGGCACCCCAATGGTGGAACCAGCTTTCAAGGACGGCAGGGGCGGGGCCCCACCTCTTAAGAGAATCAGCTGGTGATGCCTGTGGGCCAATCCGGGCGGGGCGTTTTGTGAAGTTGAAGCTAGTGGTAATATTTAGTCATTTGTTGAAATGTTTGTACCCGTTGTTTGCTATTGCTGCACTAAGAAAGAAATGACAGTAAATATTCCCCCCAACAATTGGTAGTTTCCAGTATCACTTTATTGGACAATTCAACTTGTGGTATGTTATATTATATCTTAATCAGTGGCCCATTTAATGTTGTAACATTAGTTTGTCTAAATGTAGTACAGTGAAAGTTCAAATAAAAAGGATTAGACGTACTGTAGTCAAGCTCATTGATTTTCTTTATTCATTTTGCCAGAAGTTGCAGAAGGCATATAAGTGTTTTAAAGTCTCCTATGGAGTCTGATACACAGGCTAGTACAAACATCTTAATAATCACTATTTCAGGTAGTCAGGATGAGGTTTGTATGTAACATCCACCAATGAACAAATCAACTTAATACAATAAAAGCTTCAGACACTGAAAACACATTGTTTGGCTTTATTTACTTTAAGAAGGATAAGCAGCCTGGCTGTTTTATTTAAATCCTCTTTAGGGACAATTACTCAAGATCAACATAGATTTTTCTTAATTAATAATTGGCTTCTTAAAAATTTTGCAATTCAGGTTACTATTGGGGGGTTTGATACTCTCTAGTTTGTACACAACATCGCACCAAAGGGAAACAGCAACACGTGTAAAACAGAGGAAGGGTTCTATATATTTAAATGCATATATTCTGTCTCTCTCTCTCTCTCTCTGTCTCTCTCTCTCTCATCCTCTCTCTCCTCTTCTCTCTCTCTCTCTCTCTCCCTCTCTCTCTCTACTCTCTCTCTCTCTCTCTCTCTCTCTCTCTCTCTCTCTCTCTCTCTCAAAATTCATAAATGTTGGCCAAAGGGCAAATGTGACTACAACACAATTATGAAAACAAACAGTGACATGACAACAAGTAAAAGTAATAGACTTATAATACTATTTATTAGATAAGAACTAAAACGAATACATATCTAATCAAAAAAAAGTTATACTGTAACTACCTCTCATCTCTCATCCTCTCTCTCTCTCTCTCTGTCTCTCTGTCTCTCTGTCTCCCTGTCTACTCTGTCTCTCTGTCTCTCTGTCTCTCTGTTCTCTCTGCTCTCTCTCTCTCTCTGTCTCTCTGTACTCTCTCTCTCAAAATTGTTTTTAATATCTTACCATCTGGAGTCCACACCCAAAGTTCCAAGCCTGGATGAAATACATCATCAGTTAAAGGCTTAGGATCGTTGTGTCTTTGCCCATGATGTCAAAATACTGTTGGTCCAATGTCAACTTGGTAACTGGATATGAATTGTCTTTTAGATACAGAATCAGCATGGAAATGGTTTCAGCTTTCAGGGGGCCATGTTTATATACCAGCGCTCTTGTGGATATTTCACAGTCCCTCCATCTCTTGCTTGAGAACAGGCACCTACAGATACAAGTACCCCTCAAACCCAACAAAAACCCCTTAGCACAGTACACACACCACACACACACACACACACACAAACCACACACACACACACACACACACACACACATACACACACACACACACACACACACACAACACACCACACACACACACACACAAACCACACACACACACACACCACCATACCCACACAGGTAGCCTAGTGTTTTAAGAGCGTTGGGCTGTAAACGAAAGGTTGCTGGTTTGACTCCTGAGCCGGTGAGGTGGAAAATCTGCCGTTTCTCTGCTTGAGAAGTTAAACCCCAAACAACCACTGCTCCCTGATGTTGATTAAGGTAGCCCCCTGCACCTCTCTGATTCAGAAGGGATGGGTTAAATGTGCAACACACATTTTGAGTTGAATGCATTCAGTTGTTGAAACTGACTAGGTATCTCCCCCATTCCTTCACATACACACACACATACAGTGTGGAGCCTAGTTGGGGACAAAATCCTGCAGTACCTGATGCGCTCCAGAAATAGGGTTGATTACCTCTGGTCAAGTCTAAGCTTTGACTGCCAATCATTCCTTAGCTGGTTGAGGTAAACACTGCCCTCTTCTGCCCAGAATGCACCATGTCAAGACTGAAGGCCTCCAGGTACATTAGTGTGTGTGTTCGCTATTCTGTTGTCTCTCTGCCAATGTCAGTTATGTTTGGCTTTCCCTAAACGCTTTTGGTTTTTAGTCCCCCCGTTTGGACCTTTATTTTGTTATGACTGATATGTGCAAAGGGGGGGGGTAAAATGGTGGTTTTATTACGTGGGGGGAAACCCTTCCTTGGTTAGCCCCTGTTTGAGGAATGTTTTTTAAAAAGGGGTGGTTTGTAGGTTGATCAGTTTTTCATCCTTTACATTCCCCAACGTGGGGGCATTGTTGAGACGGGTGCTTGAAAGGGTGATTATGTTAGTTGTTCCAATTCCTTGCTTGGTATGCCCCCCCAAAGAAAGTGAGAAGGCCCGACTGTTTTTGTTGTAGGAGTGTCCATATATTTGCCCCAGTTCTAATATGTGGTTGGTTACCATTTTTTATACTGGTGGAAGGACGGAGGTTTAAGGTTTTTTGATACAGATTGAGACTGTGGGATAGTGCTTTTTGTTTTACAAAGGGACATGATAGTGATTTGTTTACAGAAATCAGATTGAGCCTATGGGCCATATTGGTTTTGGTAACATAGGGCCACTGACTGTGGAGTTTATGATGGAGTTCAGCCACTGTTTAGGTAGCACCTAATCTAACAGTTATATATGTTTATACAACGGCTGGGTATAATCCTGAATGCTGATTGGTTAAAAGCGCATTCCAGCCGGTGTCTATTCCACAAGTTACCACCAGCTAAATCTATGACGTTAAAATGACTCTTTACTCTGTTACGTCTGACTGCGCAATCCACTGTCTCATCAGCCCAGGCAGGGAAGTTATAATCTTAAGGTATTCATGATCATTTCCATGTCTTAGAGATATTGGGTTTAATAGTAGTGTCAAAGCAACAGTTAGTGTCAAAGTAACCAGTGGATAGACAGTAGATGTTATGACAGTTCACTGCCACCATGTTGCCTCTGTTGTCTCTGCTAGTCAACACTATGGCTGCTGAACGCTTCCTTCATTACCAAGTCCCATTCCTCTCTCCTCCAACCCCACTCATGACATTGGCAACGTTCCAGGCTGACTACATTGACGTCGCCTGCCGGATCTCACAACGCCTGGATTGGTGTTTAACATATCAGTTAACCAAATCATGTGGTATAGTAATCTAATGCCCATTGGTTGCTGTGTGCAGCCTGACTGCAATATAGTCTGCCTTGAACGAGACCGTTCTCTCCTCGTTGTGGTTAATAGACTTTGCAGTGCTGAGCTCTGACCTCACAGACACAGGAAACTACTAACCCTGCTCCTGCTCTCCCTCCCTCCCATCTCCCTCTGACCTCACAGACACAGGAAACTACTAACCCTGCTCCTGCTCTCCCTCCCTCCCATCTCCCTCTGACCTCACAGACACAGGAAACTACTAACCCTGCTACTGCTCTCCCTCCCTCCCTCCCTCCTCCCTCCCTCCTCCCTCCCTCCCTCCCTCCCTCCCCTCCCTCCCTCCCTCCCTCCCTCCCTTTGCCCCTCCCTCTCCCCTCTCCTCCCCCCTCACCCCCCTCCCTCCCTACCCCCTCCTCCCTCCTCTCTCCTCCCTCCTCCCTCCCTCCCTTTCTCCCTCCCTCCCTCCTCCTCCCTCCTCCCTATGTGTAAACTTTAACCCCAGCTTTTTAAAAAAATTGTCGCAAGAACCAAGTATCCTAATTTTAATAGAATAGGGGCAGTAATAAAATAGAAAAACTTAATTGTCCATTTTAAAATATTTAATAAAAATTATCACTTGGAATATGGAATGATCCAGTCCCCATCAGTATCAGGGTGACTTCACTCATAACCTCAGAATGCGTTAGTTCTTTCCTGCCTGAGTCCCAGACTGTTTTGCGTTTCTAACTCGAGGTGTCAAAAAAGAAATAATAATCACCCCTCTCCCCCCATAAAAATATTTTACATGACCTCCCTGTCTCCTCAAAAATGTCAACCTCCCACTATTAAATTACAACAACAAAATGTATTACCACCATAAATAACAATAACTGTAGCAATATGTGTAAAAATATATAGACACTTCCGGTCAAAAGTTTTAGAACACCTACTCATTCAAGGGTTTTTCTTTATTTTTACTATTTTCTACATTGTAGAATAATAGTGAAGCCATCAAAACTATCAAATAACACATAGTCCATCATTACTTTAAGACATGGTCATTCAATACAAAACATTTCAAGAACTTTGAAAGTTTCTTCAAGTGCAGTCGCAAAAACCCTCAAGCGCTATGATGAAACTGGCTCTCATGAGGACCGCCACAGGAATGGAAGACCAAGAGTTACCTCTTTTGCAGAGGATAAGTTCATTAGAGTTAACAGCTTCAGAAATTGCAGCCCAAATAAATGCTTCACAGAGTTCAAGTAACAGACACATCTCAACATCAACTGTTCAGAGGAGACTGTGTGAATCAGGCCTTCATGGTCGAATTGCTGCATCAAGTTTATTTCGAAGCCATTAGTTTAATTTATTTCTACAAATATTTAGAAATAGTTTAATCTTAGTTTAAATCTAAATATCTTTGTAGCCACTTCTAATTATACCTGAGAACAAACTAATTTTCTTCAAGTGAGCTGAAATTAATATATTTATAACAGATGTGCAGGTTGTGGATAAATAGGACAGGAGATGTAATAATACTAAATGCTTTTCTTTATTGGTTTTAACAAAAGCTGCAATGCACATGACAACAAATGCCAATTCACTGGCAGAAGAAATGTTAACAATCCAAGCAAACAATGTGGGTAACATTTACAACAGTACAGATGAATGTAAACAAACAGAGTGTACATGCTAACAAATGTCAACAAATCACAAATTACAATTCGATTCAATGTCAACAAATTACTACACAATATTAAGAAAAATAACCTTGATCTTAATCTGAGCAAGCAATGCGGGTTAAGAAGTATTTAACAGGATCATTACAGCTGAAAGAAGGAAAGATACATTTGTTTCAGATTACTTAATTGTACATTGGTGGGGGAATGATCAGTGATATACAGTAATTATCAACATAATATAGAGCGTTATGTAGCCTTTTCCTGATGCGCGGTTGAATGCAGAAAAGCTGCTTCTCATGTTTGATTTTGCTCCATTTTGCAACTTGCACTTCAAGTCACTCTGAACTCCAGTGTTCACTAGTGTGTAGACGACTTCACACCACAAGTTATTCTCTTGTGACTTCGTCTGGATGTGAATACCTCATAGGGAGGAATTAAGACTTCTCTCTCGCCAGTAACTACAGAGTAATATGATATGTCAGCTCCAAGACATGTGGAGATCTCAAAGCAGGACGTCGTTCCAAATGAATCTCTGCCTATTTTCAGGTCTGGAGTGCTCGAGGCGAAGCTGCCGAAACAGATAATTTTGTTAATAACGTTTTGATCAAAATAAACGTTGGTTCTACGGTAGGTGGTCATACATGTTGTTTGACTTCGTTTGAGCATTTGAATGGCCTCAGTTAGATAGAAGTGCAGGGAATGGTACTGGAATGATGTTGTCCCATAATTAGATCTACCATCTCTAACTTGTCTGTTGAAGTCCAGGTAGATATTGGGCTTTTCATTTGTGTACACATATATAGCCATGGAATGTTCTTTTTTCAGTTCATGGATAGATGGTTTGGCCTTTTGTCCTGCTTTGTTCAGGGCATTATTGAAGTCTGAATTTGTATTTTTCTCACGTGGGAGGGAGACTGTGTTCACCTCATTGTGCATGTAGTTAGATAGCCTGGTGGGTAAGAGCGTTGGGACAGTAACCGAAAGGTAGCTGGGTCAAATCCACTCTAACCACAAGGCCACTGACTTGTTTTTAGGTGTAATAGCCATTCAATAGAGCTTGTGTCAGAAAGCTCACATTCCACACTCAACGGTTTGCATTACTCCACCACCTTATAAGGCAGGGGTCAGCAACCCTGTTCCTGGAGTGCCGCAGGGTGTTGCCCCAACTAGGCTCCACACCAGACCAACTGAGCTAAATGATCAGTTCAGTGATTGCCTAAGTTCAACACACCTGGTCTTCCAGGTTGGTTAAATCAAAAACATCATGTGTCTATGGAACTCCAGGACCAGGGTTGCCTGCCTCTTTTATAAGGTATCTCTACAGAGATAAACAGTCCTATTAACAGACATACACTTCATGACCCCAAACTCTCCCACTGCACTGTGTGGTCACTGGTCAGTCATGATTACGGACACTCAGGTTGCAACAAAGTTATGGATGACCACTGGTTGCTATTTGGCAAATGTCCAGGAAAAGGTGTGTTTAGTTTAAACAGAACCACATTTCTGAAAATGTTTGTGGCTCTTTGAGGATGTGTGACCATCATCTTCTTCATTCAGTTACAATGATCTTAGTGGTGAATTTACCAGAACTGGAGCCCGATATAGTTTTGTAGAAGACTTCAGGTTTCCTGTCTGCAGACTGTCTGAAAAGATCTACTGATACTTGGTCAGAGAGCTGGCTCTATAGGTTAATAACAGATCTACAGTGTATAAAGATGACATGAGATGTAATCATTCTCAATGCTTTTCTTTATTGCTTTCAACAAAAGCTGCAGGGCAAATTTATAGGCTCCTTTATTTCAATATTTTAAAACAATGACAATGTCAAGAAAGAAAAACATACATTTACAAGCAAAGCAAGATTTTCTTAACAGGATCATTACAACTAAGATATGGAAAGTGGTTTAGATTCCTCATCATTGTAGTAATTGCATCATTGTTTCTGGATGGAATGATTAGTGATATACAGTAGTTATCAACACAATAAAGAGCATTATGTAGCCTGTATCTGATGCTCTGATTAATGTATCAAAGCTGCTTCTCAGGTTTGGATCTGCTCCATTGTAAACCCATCTGCAGTTCATGTTGCTCTTAGATATTCCAGTGCTCTTCAGTGTATAGATGACATCACACCACATGTTTGTCTGGACATCAGTGACTCTAAAGACCTCATAGGACGGGATTAAAACCTCACTCTCATTGATATAGGCAGAGTAATATGTCAGGTTAGCACCAACACCTGTGTTGATCTCAAAGCAGGACGTGTTGCAAAAATATGTAATGACTTATTTAAAGAACTGGAGGCAAAGAATCCGAAACGGATCTCTTTGTTTAGAACATTCCAATCAAAATACACCTTGGTTCTACGGTAGGTGGTCCTACATGTTGTTTGACTTTGTTTGAGAATCTGAACGGCGTCAGTTAGATAGAAGTGCAGGGAATGGTACTGGAGTGATGTTCCATACCCATATCTTCCTTCTCTAACTGCTTTGTTGAGGTTAGGGTTTGTTATATGTATACAAATACAGTTGAAGTCGGAAGTTAACATACACTTAGGTTGGAGTCATTAAAACTCGTTTTTCAACCACGCCACACATTTCTTGTAGAATAATAGTGAAGACATCAAAACTATGAAATAACTCGTATGGAATCATGTAGTAACCAAAAAAGTGTTAAACAAATCAACATATGTTTTATATTTGAGATTCTTCAAATAGCCACCCTTTGCCTTGATGACAGATTTGCACAGTCTTGGCATTCTCTCAACCAGCTTCATGAGGTAGTCACCTGGAATGCATTTCAATTAACAGGTGTGCCTTGCTAAAAGTTAATCTGTGGAAATTCTTTCCATCTTTGATTTTTGGTTCCAACCGCCGTGTCTTTGTGAGATGCAGACTAGGTGAACGGATGATCTCAGCATGTGTGGTTCCCACCGTGAAGCATGAAGGAGGAGGTGTGATGGTGTGGGGGTGCTTTGCTGGTGATACTGTCTGTGATTTATTTAGAATTCACTTAACCAGCATGGCTACCACAGCATTCTGCAGCGAGAGGCCATCCCTTCTTGTTTGCGCTTAGTGGGACTATCATTTGTTTTTAAACAGGACAATGACCCAACACACCTCCAGGCTGTGTAAGGGCTATTTGACGAAGAAAGAGAGTGATGGAGTGCTGCATCAGATGACCTGGCCTCCACAATTACCCGACATCAACCCAATTGAGATGGTTTGGGATGAGTTGGACTGCAGAGTGAAGGAAAAGCAGCCAACAAGTGCTCAGCATATGTGGGAACTCCTTCAAGACTGTAGGAAAAGCATTCCAGGTGAAGCTGGTTGAGAAAATGCCAGGAGTGTGCAAAGTTGTCATCAAGTCAAAGGGTGGCTACTTAGAAGAATCTGAAATCTAAAATATATTTTGATTTGTTTAACACTTTTTTGGTTACTGCATGATTCCATATGTGTTAATTCATAGTTTTGATGTCTTCACTATTATTCTACAATGTAGAACATAGTAAAAATAAGAAAAACCCTGGAATGAGTAGGTGTGTGCAAATGTTTGTCCAGTACTGTACATACAAACAAACGCACACACACACACACACACACACACACACACACACACACACACACACACACACACACACACACACACACACACACACACACACACACACACACACACACACACACACACACACACACACACACACACACATACAAACGTACACACACACACACACACACACACACACACACACACACACACATGCATGCAGTAAACACCAAGTGACTTCTGAGAGTTGTTTGTTCACACTTCTTTCATACTGATCTATGTGAGAACATGACTAACATCATCAACACACTGCTGAACTCATCATCATCATCCTTCCCCTCTAATCAGGGACTGATTCAGGCCTTGAATACTAAAAGCCAAAATACCACTTGAATCAATCAATCACCCAGAATAAAGGAATACAGCACTACAGTGAAGCTTGAGGCCCCCAGTCCAGGGTTTCCCAACCCTCTCCTCAGGGACCACCAGACATTTCACATTTTAGTTTTAGCCCTAATCTGACACACCTGACTCAGTCTACTAACCATCAACCCCTTGACTAATTGATGCAGGTGTTCCTGTCTGGTGGTCCCTGAGGAGAGGGTTGTCTGGTGGTCCCTGAGGAGAGGGTTGTCTGGTGGTCCCTGAGGAGAGGGTTGTCTGGTGGTCCCTGAGGAGAGGGTTGTCTGGTGGTCGCTGAGGAGAGGGTTGTCTGGTGGTCCCTGAGGAGAGGGTTGTCTGGTGGTCCCTGAGGAGAGGGTTGTCTGGTGGTCCCTGAGGAGAGGGACCACCAGACATGCCCTATAGGCACTCGTTCCTGGAGCGCCGCAGGAACTTCTTGTTTTAAATTTAACCGACCTGGAAGACCAGGTGTGTTGAATTTAAGCAATCACTGAACTGATCCCTACTGTGTGAGACTGGATTTGAATAACCCTAGTCTAAGCTTTCTCGGTCAATCATTACTTTAGCTGGTTAATTGAAATGCTGCCCTCTACTGGTAAATGTGAAGAATGCTCCATGTCACTACAGCCTGCCTAGACCAAAGCATCTGTCAATCATCTTCAACCCTCTACTTAAAAAAACAGATAAAGCAACAGCTCACGGCACAACGCCTCTCCCCTATTTGACCTAGATAGTTTGTGTGTATGTATTGATATGTAGGCTACGTGTGCCGTAAACATTTTTTTATGTAGTTCTGTCCATGAGCTGTTCTTGTCTATTAATGTTCTGTATTATGTCATGTTTCATGTTTTGTGTGGACCCCAGGAAGAGCAGCTGCTGCTATAGCAACAGCTAACGGGGATCCTAATAAAATACCAAATACCAAATAAAACGTTTGTTTCACCAGAATCCAACTCCTAAATAAGTGTGAGACAGTCATATGAATATGAAAACCCCTTTATCAGATCAATTTAAAAAAGGTCAATGACTAAAATATATCCTTGATTGTTGTGCTATTTGATGTTTATTGTCAACCTGCCTCATAGACAAACCCCATAGACCGTGTCCGACATCGGTCTTACCTACTACTTACTAAAACTACTGAGTTCTGATCATACAACTTACTATTTAGAATGTAGTCTCGCAAGCCAACCGGATCTCTCACATTAATGTTTCACTACATGGTAATCTGTCTGGTTATTACGAGGCTATTTAGAATGTACAGTCTAGTTAAAATGGATGCAGTAAGCCACAAATACTAACATACTAGGCTCACCCACACTGAGAATACATATTCTAATCTTGGTACAGAGTCTCCACTTAACTTATTGTCAGCTGATTATCAACTGGGTCTGAAGTGACAATTCTCTTCCTCAATAGCATGCAGTGACATCCTGGCATTTAAAGCATACTCAATATTAGAAATGTCACATACTATAAAACGTTGTCTTTTCGCATATCCATCAGCCTACTTGTTAGTTTGGGGAGTCGGACACGGCCAGTGTGTTTTTTCTTATGGTAGAACAACATACCAGACAGTACCCTACATATAGTCGTTTCTCTCTTTTAACCTTTGGCCTAAAGTGTTCTTACACGTTATCAACGTGTGTCGGTTATGCTTCATTGAGTCTCTCAAACCAGTTTTGCCAGTTGAACAATGTACTTAAAAAACCGACAGAATATCACTCGCATGAAAACGTGTTTAGGATTGATGCTGTAGCTATATCATTCATCTTTGTTTTGTCTCTCCCACTCAACTTCATGCTGTTCTCTCCTGGTTGTGATTGGTTGATTGAGCAGTATGGAGCTCAGGGGCTGATCTAGGATCCCCTGTCCATGTAATCTTATTCATTATGATCTAAAAGGCGAAACTGATCCTAAATCAGCACTCTTACTCTGAGAGGCTTATGGCCCCTTACTTCACAGACAAAGGAAACGACTAACCCTTCTCAGTGCTCTCTCACCCAACTCTCTCTCTCAGCCTGAGAGCCCTCGCAGTTTTATTTTATTTTCACTCTTGGTATTCTTACAACCCATTAAGAACTGACCTTGAGTCAGTATGTCTGGTATAATTCATTTCAGATTAGACTTGACAGGACACCGTGCAATCCTGTCAAGACTTGCATAGCGTGAAAGGTAATAAAACTGTAGGATTTTGTAAACCATGTAATGTGAAGCAAGCTTTAAAGCCATTACTAACTTATCATTTCTTTGTACAGCCATTATGCATGAGAGTCAAGCACATAAGGACATTTGAAGGATTTTGAAAATGGTGTAATGTGAAAGAAGCTTTATCATGTCAGCCACAATGTCACTCAAATGTGTATGTGATGATAGTGGCTGGTTCTCTTTGGTTTCATCTCGGCAGTGGATTCACCTCCACTCAAAATCAATTTGCAATTCAGATCACTGTCTCCTCCTTTGCTCTTTAGTGTACAGACAACTTTACACAACAGGTTATTCACTGGTGACTTTGTCTGGATTTTGGTGACTTCAAAAATCTCATATGGTGGAATTGAAAATTATTTATCTTCAGGAAAGGCTGAGTAAGAAGTTAGCTCAGTGCCAAAGCAAGTGTGGGTCTCAAAGCAAGACACATTCCCAAAGTTGGTTAAGTCGGATCTCAAAGAGCTTGCGGCGAAGGTGCCGAAACGGATCTCGTGGTTGAGAACACTCAGATCAAACTTCTTGTTGGTTCTGTGAAAGGCTTCCTTACATGCCCCTTGTCTTTCTCTAAGAATCTGAATGGCATCAGTCAGGTAGAAATGCAGTGCATGGTACATGAATGATGTCACGTATGCAGAATTGCCCTCTTGAACTGCTTTGTTAAAGTCCAGGTAGATCGATTTGGAATTCAATCTGGGTAGATTTTTTGCGTACAAATAGATAGCAGTGGAATGCTCTGTTTTCAAAAGGTCTCCATGTGGTATAGCATGTGGTTTTGCTATGTTCCAGGATGTGTTGAATTGAGGATTAGTGTTTAACTCATTGTAGAGGTGCATGTTTTCAACCTCCATTAACATTAGACCTCTGCAACCATCATATTTGTCATCAACAGAAGAACGGACCATGTCTAGAGGTAGAATCTCTTGCATCCCTCCATCTTGAATCCCTCCATTCTGAGTTTCTCCATCCTGTAACGGTGAAATTTTTTGGAAACGTTTCCACTGATTAGACTTATGGCAACCTGTTCTACAGTTTGGAAACACTGATCTACTGTAGTGGCAAACATTGACAATTGAATATGTAATATATTTTTGTTTTATTTATTTGATTAAAATGTTAAATATCTCACCTTTGATTTGGGAATGCCGAAGATCAAAGCAAAGATTACCATCAAAACAAGCAGAAACATAACAGAAAAGGTGATTGTCTTCTTTGTGTGTAGGTCATGTGATTTCCATCTAATGACGTGAAAGAAGGAAGTAGAAGGGGACAGTTAATTTCAACAAGAAACCAGTGCTGTGTTCGAATACCCATACTAACATACTGTATACTACATACTTAATGAGTATATACTACATACTATTAGTTCATTTTAGTATATTGTAAACGAACGGTATCCTTACAGCTGAGTATACTAGAACTTTGCCTGTCTACCGGAAGTTGATGCTGTTGCTGTGCAAGTTCTTGCTAGCTTGTTAGCATCACAAATGACTAGTTAGACATCTTACGACTTCATTAACAATGTTCATTGAGAACGCACAACGACTATTCCACTTAGCTAAGCTAAGAATGACGTGAATAATAAAGTCAATAGACGTTGGGAAGTTAGTTAGATAGCATATTGTCACGGTTTCGGCCGAGGCTGCTCCTCCTCCTTGCTCGGGCAGGTTTCGGCGGTCGTCGTCCCCGGAGTACTAGCTGCCACCGTTGTATGTTTCATGTTCGTTTGGTTTTGTCTTGATGTTGTACACCTGTTTCTAGTTAGTGCTCCTTAGTGTCCTATTTAGTTCTCGTTGTGTGTGTCAGGTGTTGTGTGTGATTACGCTTCTGTTTGGTGTTCTGTGCTACGTGTTTCCCTCCGTTGTTTTGGAGAGGTGTTCGCACATGTTAGTGCGCCTTTAGTTTGACGCCTGTGTGCACCTTTATTTCGCCTCCGGGCTTGTTGTGCTCGTGTACTACGTGAATATTTCACTAAAATCTTTTGGACTTAGTTTCTGCGTCCTGCGCTTGATTCCTGCACCACACCCACCTTCAGCACCCGTGACAGAATCACACACCATATATATGGAATCAGCAGGAGCAACGACCACAACTGAGTCGCTGGAGGAGCATGTCCGCGGCCAGGATGACCAGATCAGACAACTGGGGACCGCTCTACAGGATGTCATCAACACCCTGCACCGATGGGAGTCCAGAGGGGTACCCACACCTCCACCTACCTTGCCACCCCCATCGGCCGGTCCACCAGTCCCAGGTCCGGAACCCAGTGGGATTCGGCTCTCGCTCCCGAGGGCGTATGACGGCACAGCTGCCGGGTGTCAGGGGTTCCTCCTGCAGGTGGAGCTCTACCTGGCCACTGTACGCCCGGTGCCCTCGGGACACGAGAGCGTTTCCGCCCTCATCTCCTGTCTCACGGGCAAGGCGTTGGAATGGGCCAACGCCGAGTGGAGGAGGATGGATGCCACCACCATCTCCTACGCGGAGTTCTCCCGTCGCTTCAAGGCCGTGTTCGACCATCCACCTGAGGGCAAAGCGGCGGGGGAGCGGCTATTCTACCTGAGACAGGGGAGGAGGAGCGCACAGGCGTTCGCACTGGAGTTCCGGACTCTAGCGGCAGACGCAGGGTGGAATGAACGGGCCCTCATCGACCATTTTCGATGTAGCCTACGGGAGGACGTTCAACGTGAGTTGGCCTGCAGGGACACCAATTTCACCTTCGACCAGTTGGTCGACATGTCCATCCGTCTGGACACCCTGCTGGCCACCCGTGGACGTCCCGAGTGGGGTCCGTCCATTCCACCCTCCAGCACCTCCGAGCCGAGCCCTATGGAGCTCGGGGGTGCTGGCGCTAGAGAAAGGAGGAGGAGGAGCCCGAGGGGGCCTGTCCCCTGCACCAATTGCGGTCGTGGAGGGCACACTGCGGCCAGGTGCTGGGGAGGGTTTCCAGAGGGAGGAGACAACAGGCCACGCACTGGGGAGCCTTCCCAGGTGAGTAGACGCCCCACTTACCCAGAGCTCTCTGTTGTGCACTTTTGTATACCTGTTCGTTTTCCACAGGTTGCACCTCATTCCCAGCATAAGGCGCTAGTAGATTCAGGCGCAGCTGGGAATTTTGTTGATCGGAAGTTTTGTTTAGATTTAGGGATTCCTCTCCTGCCTGTTGACAAGCCTTTTCCCGTTCATGCCTTAGATAGCCGCCCGTTGGGGTCGGGGTTGATTAGGGAGATCACAGCGCCACTTAGGATGTGTGCGCAGGGGGGTCATGAGGAGACTATACAGCTATATCTGATCGACTCTCCTGCGTACCCGGTGGTGCTGGGAATTCCCTGGTTAAGTACCCATAACCCTGCCATTTCGTGGCAACGGAGAGCTCTCAATGGGTGGTCTGCTCAGTGTGAGGGGCGATGTCTGGGTGAAAAAAAAAAAAAAAAAAAAGGGGAAAAAAAAAAAAAAAAAAGGGGCCCACCCCCCCCCTTTTACCCGGGGGAAAAAACCTACCCCCCAAAAAAAAATTTTAAAAAAAAAACCCCGGGGGTTTTTTCCCCCCCCCCCCTTTTTTTCCCCCCCCCCCCCCCCCAAAAAAACCCCCAAAAAAAAAAAAAACCCCCCAAAAAAAACCCAAAAAAAAATCAAAAAAAAAACCCCCCCCCCAAAAAAAAAAAACCCAAAACCCCCGGGGGGGGGGGGGTTTGTTAGGGGTTCCCCCGGGGCGGTGAAAGCCTTTGTTCCTTGGGCCGTTTTCGGGGGGGGGGGATCCGGCCCCCGGGGGTTTTTTTGCGGGGGGGTTGGGGTTTTGTTTTGATGCCCTGGTCCCGGTGGGCTGGGTTCCTGGTTGTCTGGGGGGGTTGGGCCGGAGCTTCAGGGGGGGGGTGGGGGGCGTTTTTGGGGTTTTTCCGTGGGGGCCCTTTGGGGGAAAGTCCAAACCAAGTGCCCGCACTGCACATTCCGCCTGAATATGGGGATTTGGCTATCGTGTTTAGTAAAGCTAGGGCGACACAGTTGCCTCCTCATAGACAGGGGGATTGTGCGATTGATCTCCAGGCAGGAGCAGCGCTCCCACGGAGCCACGTGTATCCTTTGTCTCAAGAGGAGAGAAAAGCTATGGAGACTTACATAGCCGAATCTTTGAGACAGGGATACATACGGCCCTCCACTTCTCCCGCGTCCTCAAGCTTTTTTTTTGTGAAGAAAAAAGATGGAGGGTTGCGCCCGTGCATTGATTACCGTGGTCTCAATCAGATTACTGTGAAATACAGTTATCCACTCCCTCTGATTGCGACCATGACGGAGTCATTGCACGGAGCACGGTTTTTCACAAAACTGGATCTCAGGAGCGCGTATAACTTGGTGCGCATTAGGGAGGGCGACGAATGGAAAACAGCGTTTAGTACCACTTCGGGTCATTTCGAGTATCTCATCATGCCATACGGGTTGATGAATGCTCCATCAGTCTTCCAATCCTTCGTGGATGAGATTTTCCGGAATATGCAGGGGCAAGGGGTGGTCGTGTACATTGATGACATTCTAGTGTACTCGCCTACCCGAGCCGAGCATGTAGCCCTGGTGCGTCTTGTATTGAGGAGGCTGTTGGAATACGACCTGTATGTCAAGGCAGAGAAATGTCTGATTTTCCAGGAGTCGGTCTCCTTTTTGGGTTATCGGTTGTCCGCGTCAGGGGTGAGAATGGAAGTGGACCATGTGTCAGCCGTGCGTAATTGGCAAACCCCAACCACTGTCAAAGAGGTGCAGCAGTTCTTGGGCTTTGCGAATTACTACCGGAGGTTTATCCGGGGTTTTGGACAGGTGGCAGCTCCCATCACGTCCCTTCTGAAAGGGGGTCCGGTGCGCCTGCAGTGGTCAGCTGAGGCGGACAGGGCCTTTGGGAGACTGAAGGACCTGTTTACGTCGGCTCCGGTGTTGGCGCATCCGGATCCCGCCTTACCCTTTCAGGTCGAGGTGGACGCGTCTGAGGCCGGTATAGGGGCCGTATTCTCTCAACGGTCCGGCACGCCACCTAAACTCCGCCCCTGTGATTTTTATTCTAAATGCTCAGCCCGGCGGAGCGAAATTATGACGTCGGGGACAGGGAGCTGTTAGCTGTAGTTCAGGCCCTTAAGGTGTGGAGGCATTGGCTTGAGGGAGCTCAACACCCTTTCCTCATTTTGACTGACCATCGGAACCTGGAGTACATCCGGGCAGCGAGGAGACTGAACCCTTGCCAGGCTCGATGGAGTATGTTTCTCGCCAGGTTCATATTTAAAATCACGTACATCCCTGGGTCCCAGAACGGTAAGGCAGATGCGCTGTCCCGGCGGTATGACACGGAGCCGTTGAGCCTACTCCCATACTACCGGCGTCTTGTCTTGTGGCACCGGTTGTGTGGGAGGTCGATGCTGAAATCGAGCGGGCGTTGCGTGCCGACCCTAGCCCTCCACAGTGTCCTGTGGGTCGGAAGTACGTTCCGCTCGAGATTCGGGATCGACTCATTTACTGGGCTCACACGTCATCCTCCTCTGGACATCCGGGTATTGGCCGGACAGTGCATTGTCTTAGCACTAAATACTGGTGGCCCACGTTAGCCAGGGATGTGAGGGTTTATGTCTCCTCCTGCTCGGTGTGCGCCCAGTGTAAGGCGCCCAGACACCTGCCCAGGGGTAAGTTACAACCCCTGCCCGTTCCACAACGACCATGGTCCCACCTCTCAGTGGATTTTGTGACAGACCTTCCCCCCTCGCAGGGGAATACCACCATCCTGGTCGTTGTGGACCGGTTCTCTAAGGCCTGTCGTCTTCTCCCTATGTCGGGTCTTCCTACTGCCCTACAGACCGCAGAGGCACTATTTACCCACGTCTTCCGGCATTACGGGGTACCCGAGGATATAGTGTCTGATCGAGGCCCCCAGTTTACCTCCTGAGTCTGGAGAGCGTTCATGGAGCGTTTGGGGGTCTCGGTGAGCCTTACCTCGGGGTACCACCCGGAGAGCAATGGGCAGGTAGAACGAGTCAACCAGGATGTGGGTAGGTTTCTGAGGTCGTATTGCCAGGACCGGCCTGAGGAGTGGGCTCGGTATATTCCCTGGGCCGAGATGGCCCAGAACTCTCTCCGACACTCCTCTACCAACCTAACCCCCTTCCAATGTGTGTTAGGTTACCAGCCGGTTCTGGCACCTTGGCAGCAGAGCCAGACCGAGGCCCCTGCGGTGGATGATTGGATGAGGCGCTCGGAGGAGACGTGGAACGCTGCACACGTCCACCTGCAGCGGGCCATCCGTCGACACAAGGCGAGTGCCGATCTCCACCACAGTGAGGGGCCGGTGTACGCACCTGGAGATCGAGTCTGGCTCTCAACCAGAAACCTGCCCCTCCGCCTGCCCTGCCGGAAGCTGGGTCGGCGGTTTGTGGGGCCTTTTAAAGTCCTGAGAAGACTGAACGAGATGTGTTATAGGTTACATCTGCCTATTGAATATAAGAATATTAACCCCTCGTTCCATGTGTCTCTTCTCTGGCCGGTGGTAGCTGGTCCACTCCAGGAAGGTGAGATAGGAGAGACTCCTCCGCCCCCACTGGACATCGAGGGGGCTCCGGCGTACACCGTTCGGTCCATCTTGGACTCAAGACGCCGGATGGGGGTCTCCAGTATCTCGTGGAGTGGGAGGGGTACGGCCCGGAGGAGCGGTGCTGGGTGCCGCAGAGGGACATCCTAGACCCGTCTCTCCTGTCGGAGTTCCACCGGGGGCATCCCACGCGCCCTGCTCCGCGTCCTCCTGGTCGTCCCCGAGGCCGGGGTCGGCGCACAGCTGGAGCCGCGCATCAAGGGGGGTGTACTGTCACGGTTTCGGCCGAGGCTGCTCCTCCTCCTTGCTCGGGCAGGTTTCGGCGGTCGTCGTCCCCGGAGTACTAGCTGCCACCGTTGTAAGTTTCATGTTCGTTTGGTTTTGTCTTGATGTTGTACACCTGTTTCTAGTTAGTGCTCATTAGTGTCCTATTTAGTGCTCGTTGTGTGTGTCAGGTGTTGTGTGTGATTACGCTTCTGTTTGGTGTTCTGTGCTACGTGTTTCCCTCCGTTGTTTTGGAGAGGTGTTCGCACATGTTAGTGCGCCTTTAGTTTGACGCCTGTGTGCGCCTTTATTTCGCCTCCGGGCTTGTTGTGCTCGTGTACTACGTGAATATTTCACTAAAATCTTTTGGACTTAGTTTCTGCGTCCTGCGCTTGATTCCTGCACCACACCCACCTTCAGCACCCGTGACACATATAGTTAATATACTGGCAAGTTCAATGTATTAGTAGCCAACCAACGTTAGGTAGCTAGCTAACATACCAGTACATACAATCAACTGCTGTAATGATATGCTATGCGGTTCGTAAGGCTAGCGTACCTAAGAAATTGTCACCCAACATAACATGTAACGTCACTTATTTCAAAAGGCATTACATTATTACATTGCTCAACATTTTCTTAACATTTGTCGTAATAAGTTAAAGCAATGAATTTGTATCCACTCTCGTCGGACTTCAGCTACATATTTTCTGCAATTTTCTTAAAATCTGAAAATGCTGTGAAGCCACGCCCATTCTCTGAAGAATTGCATTATGGGCCCCAAAAGCACGGAAATAGTGTCCACTGCTTGTTTACTTTGTATTTTGGCTAATGTAGTACAACATCAGGGAACTTTTGGCATGCTAAATATATCCATACTATGACCAATAAGCATACTACATACTCCATTTACGTCACAAATAGTATGGTTAGTGCGGTTAGTATGAGTATTCGAACACAGCTCAGGTCTTACTGCGCCTGTTCCAAAGATATTGATATTAAGAGGTAGAATTGGAAGAACTTGAAATGAAATTACCGGTAAATGTAAATGTGACATTTGTAATATCTGCCATCAAATGTATTTGTTCTCGCTAGTTAGTCACTTTTACTTATCACTCATAAGCCAGTGTTATACTCTGTGAGAGGGCAAAGTTACTACTATTATCATTCTTTAATCATTACTTTTCAGTGTCTTTTGCACGTGAAATAATCTGTAGAAAACTGGGTGTACAGGTGTTATGTACATATATTACATTCTTACCTGTTACTTCAGTTCTGGTCACTCAACGTTACGGTATCCTTTTTTGTGAGGCCAAGTTATGAGCAAAACCTCTTAATCCTCTTCTTTTGTGTTTTCTGTTGTTATGTCAATTCGCAAAACAGGTTTTGTTTTTATGGAACCACCCATGTATGACAGATCACTGGTGTTTCTGGTCCTTGGTGACTTTAGCCCTGAGTACACCTTGCATTACAGTCCTAGCACATGTAAAAGGGGAAACACTGATGTGTCACATGGGGTAAAAACCTGAAGCATCCGGTGGGGGCTTCCACTCACTACCAAATATGGTGATGAGAGGAAGCCCAGTGGCCAGCAGTGGGAGAAGATGGAGCGAGATGAAACTGGGCCAACATTCTGCTCATTTCTTAATCGATGAAACATTTGATCTCAATACAGTTTTCTGTTCCCAAAACTAGAATCTGTTACGAACAGAATGCACTAAATGATGTATTCTTGACCATTTGAGAAAGTTCCTAAAAATGGCATTATTTAGAAGGAGTGCAAGGTCAAATTAAAGTTGTTACACATGCACACTTCAGAGAGGAGATAGATGAGTTTAGTTGTGTGTTCTAATACAGTCTAGGTAGATAGGTTTGGGTTAGTTATCTGTGTTCTAATACAGTCTAGGTAGATGGGTTTGGGTTAGTTTTAATACAATCTGGGTAGATGGGTTGGGTTAGTTATCTGTGTTCTAATACAGTCTAGGTAGATGGGTTTGGGTTAGTTATCTGTGTTCTAATACAGTCTAGGTAGATAGGTTTGGGTTAGTTATCTGTGTTCTAATACAGTCTAGGTAGATGGGTTTGGGTTAGTTATCTGTGTTCTAATACAATCTGGGTAGATGGGTTTGGGTTAGTTATCTGTGTTCTAATACAGTCTAGGTAGATGGGTTTGGGTTAGTTATCTGTGTTCTAATACAGTCTAGGTAGATAGGTTTGGGTTAGTTTTCTGTGTTCTAATACAGTCTAGGTAGATGGGGTTGGGTTAGTTATTGTGTTCTAATACAGTCTATGGTAGATAGGTTTAGGTTAGTTATCTGTGTTCTATACAGTCTAGGTAGAGGGTTTGGGTTAGATATCTGGTTCTAATAAGTCTAGGTAGATGGGTTTGCGTTAGTTATCGTGTTCTAATACAGTTAGGTAGATGGGTGTGGGTTAGTTATCTGTGTTCTTATACAGTCTAGGTAGATGGGTTTGGATTAGTTATCTGTGTTCTAATACAGTCTAGGTAGATGGGTTTGGGTTAGTTATCTGTGTTCTAATACAGTCTAGGTAGATGGGTTTGGGTTAGTTATTTGTGCACATACAGTAGTGTTCCCTTCAAACCACAAACACTAAAGCCCAAGGCACAAACACACAAGGACACACTAGAATATAATAGAACATCTTCATTGTCCATTTAAATATTTCATAAAATATTATATAAATTTGATCAAATGTGGAATGATACCAGTCATCAGTCAATCATCAGGGTGACTTCTGACTACTGTTGATCTCTTTCCCACTAACAGGTATATTTTCTTGTGATATTTTCCCCCCCAGAATCCACACTAAAGTTTGAGGCCCTCTTGAAGGTGTGACACAGTCATCATCAGGCTGAGTTTGGTGCAAACCACAACACAAACAACCTGACAAAGATAAATGTCATTCAGTTTCCCAGATGTAACTATGCAGGTGTCATCATTACTGTATAAGATATTCATTGTATTTTCCATCTCTTAGATATATTGTGTTTTGTATTTGTGTCAAAGCAACAGTTAATGTCAAAACACCAGTTTAGTCAGTAGGTTGTTATGACGGTTCACTGCCACCCTATGGCCTCTGTTGTCTCTGCTAGTCAACATGATGGCTGCTGAAAGCTTCTTGGTAACTGAGTCACTCCTCATCTCTCTTCCAACCCCACTCATGAGGTTGGCCACGTTCCAGGCTGACTACATTGAAGTTGCCTGCCAGATGTCACATCTCTTAGATAGATGTTTAACATATCAGCTAACCAAATCAAATGCTATAGCAATCTGATGCCCAACAGCACAGTCGATGACTTGGCCAGCAGCCATGTCTTAATGGCTGCAGCCTGTCTTCAAAATAGGCGGCCTGGAACGAGACCGTCCTATCCTCGGTGTGGTTGATAGATTGAGCAGTATTGAGCTCTGACCTCATAGACACAGGAAACTATTAACCCTGCTCCTGCTCTCCCTCCCTCCCATCTCCCTCTGACCTCACAGACACAGGAAACTACTAACCCTGCTCCTGCTCTCCCTCCCTCCCATCTCCCTCTGACAGTTTCCTCTTCTCTTATCACTCTGGTTACAATTCAAATCTTTGGCCTCAAGTTCATTTCAAAGCCATAACTAAGTTTAATTTCTTTGTACAACTATGTTGAATAATGGGTAAAGATTTACCATGTTAGCCACAATCTCACTCAGATGTGACGATTGAAGCTTCAGGTTTCATTTGTCAAGATCTTTGAATCTTTCCTTAAATCTAAATCTCTTTGTAGTCCATTCTAATTGCAACCTGAGAACAAACTCATTTTCTTCAAGTGAGATGAAATTAATCTCTTTATAATTGATGTACAGGTAGTGGATATATAGGACATGGGATGTAATAATGTTCAATGTTTTTATTTATTCAACATAAGCTGGAGTGCACATGCTAAAAATATAATCAAATGACAAATTAATTAATTACATTCAATTTCACTCTATTACCATACATTATATTATTTCCAAAAATCTTAATCTGAGAAAGTAATGCGTGTTTATCCATTTAACAGGATCGTTACACCTGAGAGCTGAGAAAGATACCTTTTTTTCAGATTACTTCTCCTTGTACATTGGTGGGAGGAATGATCAGTAATATACAGAACATAATTAAACAGCAATATGAAGCCTGTATCGGCTGTTCTGCTGATTGTGATTAAAATAAAAATGAACTGCTTTTCTGATTTATTTTGGCACCAATTTGCAGTTCAGCTCTTATGAACTCTATTGCTCACTAGTGTGTAGACGACTTCACAACATAGTTTATTCTCTGGTGACTTCGTCTGGATGTTGGTCACTGTGAATACCTCATAGGGAGGAATTAAGACTTCTCTCTCTCAAGCAAATACAGAGTAATATGATATGTCAGCTCCAAGACATGTGGAGATCTCAAAGCAGGACGTCGCTCCAAATGAATCTCTGCCTATTCCCCTGCCTAGAGTGCTCAAGGTGAAGGTGCCGAAATCGATTTCTTTGATGACAATGTTCTGATCAAATTACACTTTGGTTCTATGATATGTGGTAATAGTGCTTTTTTGAGGTTGGTTCGGTTTCAGTTAGATTATTATAAAATAATAACTGATTTCGGTTTTGATTATTTTTTAAACATTAAATACACTATGCGTTATAAGGGTTGGATTCTGTAAAAACACAGAATAAAACAATTAATAAAAGTCCCATGATAGTAGTGACTTCCCATTACTGCTTATCACTTATTAACCATCATTTATTCACATTTCTTTAATAAAATATTTCAGTTGTTGTGTATGTTACATTTCTTTTATTTGATGACTTTATTCTTTCATTCCAAATAATCATCTAATCTCTACAGAGCTGCTGCCTATGCTGTCTGACAAAATCACTATTTTAGTTTTGTAAATATATGAACACTATTGCGACTATGAACATAGTTAATAGCTTTATGTAGCAGTAGCCTGTATCTATTGCTTTACAATTCAGGTCACTCTTCCATTTTCCAGTGCTCTTTAGAGTGTAGACGACTTTACACCACAGGTTATTCACTGCTGACTTCATCTGGATGTTGGTGACTTTGAATACCTCATAGGGAGGAATCAAAACTTCCCCCTCGTTTGCACAGGCAGAGTAATATGTCAGGTTAACACCAAAACATGTGTTGATCTCAAAGCAGGATGTGTCTCCAAAATCGTATAAGGTCTTATGTATAGAACTTGAGACAAAATAACCAAAGCGCATTTCTTTGTTGACAACATCCTGATCAAAAGTTACATTGGTTCTAAGGTAGGTGGTCCTACATGATGTTTGACTTTGTTTGAGAATCTGAATGGCGTCAGTTAGATAGAAGTGCAGGGAATGGTGCTGGAATGATGTTCCATACCCATATCTGCCTTCTCTAACTGCTTCGTTGAAGTTCAGGTAGATGGATTCGGATGGAGGTTGGGGTTTGTTATTTGTGTACAAATACATAGCGATGGAATGCACTTTTTGCAGACCATCTTTTGGAGTGGAGGCATGTTTCTCTGCAATGTCCCAGGCTCTTCTGAAGTTAGTGGTGGTGTTCTTCTCATGTGGGAGGAAGTAGCTCTCCACTCTCTTAAAGGCTTCGTCTCTGCAGACATCGTATTTGTCGTCAACAGAATCAGCTGCCATGTCCAGTGGGAAAATCTCCTTCTGTAACAGTAACATTCTTTAGGGACATTCTCCTTACAGACCTATCAGGTCCTTGCTTGGGTGATAAAATGTCTACCGATCCCTTATTGGCCGCAGTTTGTGAGGCCAACTGTGAGGAAAACAATAGTAGACTTGTGTGTTTGTCTGTTGGTTTATGTCAATGTGCAAAATGAAAGTACAAAATAATAGCACCGCCCAAGTCCCAAAGCAGGATGACAAAAATATGATAGACATTTGTTTTTTCTGCATAGCTCAGGGCGTAGTCAAAACAACATGAAGCCTATTCACAGGTATTGCCCATAACATTTAAGGACACTCTTTTCTTGTCAGAAAAAACAGTCGTGGGACACTATTTTTTAAAATTATGTCTCTGTAAAAGGAGTACTTGTTCAACTTATCTCTGTAAAATGAGTACTTGTTCAACTTAAAAATATAAATGAACCCTGCTGGTGTTAAATGTAAAGTTGTATGAACTTATACTTTATAATGTAACAAATGTTATTGCCTCGTTTTGTTAACTCAACTTGATTTCCTGATTTGCCATAATTTATTATAAGCAGGGTAAATCAACTAAACTAGGTAAATGAAATATTAGGTTTGAGGTTGTATTTTTCTTAGGGTACCTGTGTCACCAGTCCAAAGTGAAGACAGAGAATCAAAACCAAGACAGAGATGTAGTTTTTCTTCTTCTCAGTGCTCTTCACATCTAAAGATGAGAACACAACCAGTCAAAGGATGAGAAACATTTCCATTGTGCCTTTACATACAAATAAGTTGCAGCTACATACAAAACGGTTGTCATTGCTAAAAAATATCTCACCATCAATTAAGGAATATCCACCACCCATGTTGCAGAAGTTGTTGACCTCAAATCTACAGCATGTTCAAAGTATATAATCAAATAAAGTTAACTCTTATTTCAACAACCCAAGTGATACAACAACAACAACCTGTTCCTAAGACTGGAATAATATGTCACATCCTGTCAAATGGAGAAGCACTCACCTGCACTCTGTACTAGTAACTATTGATGCAAGGAGCTCTTCAATCAAACTCTTCTTACAGTGTATCAGTTCTCTCTGTCATCCCAACCATGCGTTTCTTTTTATAGCTGTGATAATAACGATCCATCCCATACAGTGACGTTGAGGTCTTGACTGAAAGAGAACCTTAAAGTTACTTTCTCTTTCAATTTGGATACATCTTTACCTTCACGTTCTTCATTACAATGTAATATCTTTATAGTGATACTGAGATATATCAAATCAAATCAAATCCAAAAATTGTATTTGCCACATGCGCCGAATACAACAGGTGTAGACATTACAGTGAAATGCTTACTTACAAGCCCTTAACCACCAATGCAGTTTTTTAAGAAAATAGTGTGTAAAGTGTTAAGTAAAACATAGATAAGTAACTAAAGCTGTACCTGTAGTTAGTACTACATCCACCCAGGTCTCTGTCACCAACACTACATCTGTACCTGTAGTTAGTACTACATCCACCCAGGTCTCTGTCACCAACACTACAGCTGTACCTGTAGTTAGTACTACATCCACCCAGGTACTCTGTCCACCAACACTACAGCTGTACCTGTAGTTAGTACTACAGCCACCCAGGTCTCTGTCACCAACACTACAGCTGTACCTGTAGCTAGTATTACGTCCACCCAGGTCTCTGTCACCAACACTACAGCTGTACCTGTAGCTAGTAATACGTCCACCTTTGACTCTGTCCCTGAATCTAAGGTTTCTGTGTGATGCTCTCTCTCCTATGGAATAGAGTAGAGCTATAGAGTTGTATAATAGTTCATGTAGGTAGATGTCATGTGGAACAGTGGAATCATCCCCAGCCAGCTCTCTATGTCTCGCTGAGTCTCTCTCTCTATGTCTCTCTCTCTGTGTCTCTGTCTCTGTCTGTCTCTCTCTCTCTCTCTGTCTCTCTCTCTCTCTCTCTCTCTCTCTCTCTCTCTCTCTCTCTCTCTCTCTCCCCCTCTCTCTCTCTCTCTCTCTCTCTCCCTCTGTCTCTCTCTCCCTCTTTCTGTCTCTCTCTCTGTCGCTCTCGCTCGCTCTCTCATTCTTTCTCTCTCTATTTAGTATTGGATGATTTTCAACTCTGATTCTCTGTGTGGTTTATAGGTATTGGATGGAAGGGGAGCCTAATAACTTGAATGTCAAGGTGGCTTGTGTTGAGATCTCACAGACAGCAACAGACCCATTGAAGAGTTGGAAGGATGCACCATGTGTTAAACATCACTGGGTCTGTGAGAAACCGATCACACACTAACTATTGGTTATCCCTGTGATAGGCTTAAGATGTTTTTTTCTCTCTCTCTCTCTCTCTCTCTCTCTCTCTCTCTCTCTCTCTCTCTCTCTCTCTCTCTCTCTCTTCTCTCTCTCTCTCTCTCTCTCGTAGTTACTATGTTGATGGTTGGATACAGTGCTGAATGGTGAAGTGATGTTTCCACCTAGTGCAGGGTTCTCATATCCGGTCCTTGAGGGCCGAAACACTTCAGTTTTTTATTTCTACCTGGTAGTTAATTGCACTCACCTGGTGTCCCAGGTCTGAATTAGCCCCTGATTAGAAGGAGAGGATGAAAAACAGAGGTGTTTCGGCCCTCCAGGACCGGAATTGAAGAACCCTGACCTAGTGGTTAAAGAGTCTCAGTGGTCTAAGGCACTCTATCGCAGTGCTAGCTGTGCCACTAGAGATCCTGGTTCGAATCCAGGCTCTGTCGTAGCCGGCCGCGACCAGGAGACCCATGGGGCGGCGTACAATTGGCCCAGCGTCGTCCAGGGTAGGGGAGGGAATGGCCGGCAGGGATGTAGCTCAGTTGGTAGAGCATGGCGTTTGCAATGCCAGGGTTGTGGGTTCGATTCCCACAGGGGTCAGTATAAAAAAATAAATAAAGAATAATGTATGTAAGCACTCACTAACTGTAAGTCGCTCTGGATAAGAGCGTCTGCTAAATGACTAAAATGTAAATGTCAGAGAGAGATTAACTCACCATCGAGGTGAAATAGTGGTATTACAGACTTGCCTATGGACTCTTTCTCAATTCATTCTTCCTCAATTCCTCCTCTCTCCTTGCTTCCTTCTCAAAATGCATTGGATAATATGGTCCAAGAGGAGGGACCTTGGACTTTCTCCTCTAATAGGGTTGAGAAGGAGGAGAGGAATCGATGAAAGACTAATTTAGATAGAGCCTTAGTGTCAGACAGAGCCATAGAGCAGGGTTTCCCAAACTCGGTCCTGGGACCCACCCTGTGTGCACGTTTAGTTTTTTGCCCTAGCACTACACAGCTGATTCAAATAATCAAACTGGATGATGAGTTGGTTATTTGAATCAGCTGTGTAGTGCTAGCGCAAAAAACAAAATGTGCATCCAATAGTGTATGGACCTCACTTTGTGCACGGGGGCATTGTCATGCTGAAACAGGAAAGGGCCATCCCCAAACTGTTGCCACAAATTTGGACGTACAGAATCGTTTACAATGTCATTGTATGTTGTAGCATTAAGATTTCCCTTCACTAGCCCGGACCAAAAAAAACTGCCCCAGACCCTTATTCCTCCTCCACCAAACTTTACAGTTGGCACTATGCATTGGGGCAGGTAGCATTCTCCTGGCATCCGCCAAACCCAGATTCATCTGTCGGACTGCCAGATGGTGAAGCATGATTCATCACTCCAGAGAATGTGTTTCCAATGCTCCATAGTCCAATGGCGGCGAGCTTTACACCACTCCAGCCTACGCTTAACATTGACCATAGAGATCTTAGGCTTGTGTGCGGCTGCTCGGCCATGGAAACCCATTTCATTAAGCTCCCGACAAACAGTTATTGTGCTGATGTTGCTTCTAGAGGCAGTTTGGAACTCGGTAGTGAGTGTTGCAACTGAGGACAGACGATTTTTACGCGCTATGCGATTCGGCACTCGGCGGTCCTGTGAGCTTGCATGGCCTACCACTTCACGGCTGAGCCGTTGTTGCTCCTAGACGTTTCCACTTCACAATAACAGCACTTACAGTTGACCGGGGCAGCTCTAGCAGGGCAGAAATTTCACAAACTGACTTGTTGGAAAGGTGGCATCTTATGACGGTGCCACGTTAAAGGTCACTGAGCTCTTGAGTAAGGCCATTCGACTGCCAATGTTTGTCTATGGAGATTGCATGGCGGTGTGTTCGATTTTATACACCTGTCAGCAACGGGTGTGGCTGAAATATCAACATCCACTAATTTCAAGGGGTGTCCACATACTTTTGTATATATAGTGTATGTTTAAAACAGATGTGCACGATGGGAAACAAACATGTTTCCATTCGAAGCTAAAGTGGGGGGAGTCACTTGGTGGCCAGTGATTTGTTGATTTGACAGTTTCTCATCTGTTAAAACGGTGTCACTTACGGTAAGGGACAGGAACAGACACAGGGCAGAGGTAACGATATCACAAGATCCTGGGGTATGACAGAAAACACAGTACGTTGTTGGAGATATCTGAGGCCATCGATGCTGAGCCAGATATGACCAAAAGGTTTGACAGAGGTGAGATGGAGGAGAGGATTGTGGATATCTACGTCAGTGCAGACACCCTGAGAGACGGTGAGACCAGCACCAAGAGATAAGAGACAGCAGACACTGCTCCCAATAATGGATCAGGAAACAGCCACACAGTCTCTCTCACATGCACACACACACAGAAATGTCCATGCACACACACACATGCACGCACAAGACAAAACACGTGCTCGCGCACACATGCACACATTGTTGTTGCAGATAACAAGGCCTCAAAGAACTCAACTGCAGAGAGAGACCAGCTACAGACAAGATACATGTGGTTTAACATCACCATGACAACATAATGTAACACATAAAGCAGCCATCAGTGCACACAACTTCCTCCTTCATTCTCACACACGCCCACGCTGTAGGTCCTAGATTCAGTCTGCAGTGCAGAAGATCAGCGCTATAGTGGAATTGAAATTCAAAGGCAATGTTCCCACCTTTGCGGAGACTGCATTCACGGTAAACTCTGCATATGTCAGCTCAATTGAAAATGAACTTTACATTTCAATAGCGCTATAGCGCAGATCTTCTCCTCTACGGATTGAATCTAGGTCTCAGTGTCAGAGTGAGCCACAGCAGAGGAAGAAGAAAATGAACACATGAACACACACACACACACACACACACACCACCCATAACATACATAAACCCCAACAATCCCAAAATTAAACAACAACCACATCAGAAAGGGAAAGAAAACCAAACAGTCCAAAATGAAAAAGTTAAAAAACATGTAGTCTACAAACCCTTATCGAAATGACAT